TTCGCTGGGGAACTAGAGGTAAATATGCCAGCACAGTTTCTCTATAGCAGGGGAGCATCTCGATTAGAGAAAAAAGTGGACTCAAACTCCCAAATACACTGATTTCAAGAAGTTTATCAATAATCAAGTAAATATACTTAACAGAGCTCCTCTGCTGTGTTCTGTGTTGATATCGTTTAGTTAAAAACCTGTTTCAGACAAGACAACTCACCCTACTCCTTTCCCTGTCTTAGATACAGGGCTCTGGACTGATTACTTTGGATGTTGTCCTATCTTCTGTGTCACTTCTGGAATTGTATTTAATTCTCTTACGCTGTGTTTAATCTACCCACACACAGCCTACTGACTACTTCATGTTTCAGAAATCCGCTCCATGGGAATGTTTCACCATAGAGAAAGAAAGTTTTGCCAGCATTCGTTTGAGGCTTGGGTGAGCCTGAAACTCTGCTCAAGGTCACAAGCTTTTACAAAAACAAAGCTTATGCCTTTGGGTCATGAATCCTTCATAAATGGTTCAGCTGAAATCTAACAAAAGCCTCAGCTTCAGGAATCATAGGCAGAGAGAGAAGAGTTTCCTAAATAAAGTAAAATTTTAGAAAGTAATTTCTGATTTGAAATACTTTAAAGAGATCTGGTTTTCTGGCTTCTGGCCCATGAAAATGAGGACTCAGGTATGTTCAAGCTGGTTACCTAAAAGCATCATATAAAAATTTACTGAAAATTCTTCATCTTTTAAAAATTAACAGAAATATTCACTAGTAGGTATAAGTCTGAAACACGAGGCTTGATTTCAGAAAATTTGAAACTTGAATTTTTACAGTATAGTTTATATCTGTCTAACTTCCAAGATTTTTTTTTTCCCCTGAAAATCAGGACAAACTCAAAGTTACACTTCCTGCAAAATGAAATTTCAAATTCATTATCTGAAGATTTTTAGTAATCACTGAATTGAAATCTGGATGTTTGTTTTCATTTCTCGTCGTTGACATATTAGAATTGGATATGATGGCTTGGAAGTACATCAGTAATTATGCTATTAGTATGTCAGTGTCAAAGCAGGTAACAGTAAATTTTCATCTTATAACTAAAGACAAAAATTATCAAATAGAGTGTAAGAGTATTGCAGCTTCTGCTTGAAACCCTTGATGCTGTGCCTGTTTAACTTCTATTCAGCTTTACTTGGCATTTTGTACAATAAAGGATTCATTGTTTTTCTTCTAATTTATTGCAAGTAGTCCACACTACAGAAGGGGAATTGCAAAGTATATTCAGAGGCAGCTTCTTTAAAGCAAAGAAAGAAAGAAGATGAAAAAGGGAGTACTTTGATAGGTGAGAAAGGAGGTAGCAATGTGAATGGAGAGATTTTTCTGGGAACTATGAAAATAAACATGGGCAATGTTAATGACAATGAAGAAAAGGAAGGGGATAAAGATGGTAAAGAAACCAGCACTGTAGAAAAAACAGAATTGAAACAGGGGAAATGGAGAGAGTCAAGACTGATGCTCTGTTCCATTCAGTTTCAGGACGGTTTTATCTTTTTGGAGTGAAGGCAGGAGAGGTAAGATCAAAGGACTACATCATTAAGGACATATTTAAGGAAGAGGAGTCTCATAAGTAAAATATGTATGTTCTATCATTAGAACTGCTCGAGTAGTTTAAGTAGCATTTGAGCATAGTTTGAGTATATTGGGTATATAAAGCAGCTATTTGTTGAAAGGTGTGTTTCTTAGAAACTTATTTTCTGTCATACTTTATTATCTTAATTGTTGCTAATGATTTATAAAATGATTTTGTTAACAAACAGTCTCTACAGAAAAGATTTGGAGTGTGAAGTACGTTCTGAGGTTTCCTTTTAATATAACGAGACCGTATTTCCTCTTCACCCTGGAAAGAGATATTACCTTAAACCGTCTTGGCTATTTTATTCCATACAGAGCTTAAATGTATTATAAGGGTCATATGTTTGCTGCTTAGGTAGATGAATATGACATTTACACTGTTAAAAACGCAAAGAGATATTAAAAGGGGTGTCTTCTCCTTGGGTGTGCAACTTGAGATTTATTAGCTCCTGATATTAGAAGCACCCACGAAAGTATTTAATGTTTTTGAGAACTGTGGGGAGTTTCTTCTCTGAATATTTGCCAATAGGTTTCTCAATTTAAGAATTCAGAAATAGATATGTTAAAGAAAATCCAGTGGCTACTTCATTAATGTGCTGGGGTTTGTGCCGTTCAGCATCATTACATGAGGTTTGTCCCTGGCTTGATTTCGTTTCCTGCATAAAATGACAGCAAGGATGTGTTTGGACCAGCCCTATGTACTTTTTTACAATAGGTAATGCATGTTCCAACAAATAGCATTGTGTGTCTATTGAACTTCATCACTCTGTTTACGCCTTTGAAAGAAATTACTAAACATTTTTTTAATTACGATGATTACAGCCTGAAAAGTTCTTTGTCTGTTCCATGCCATATATTATTCTGAGGTGAAGGGTAGAAGAGAGCAGAAGGGGAACTCATTAGAAGTCTGATTAAAATTCCTTGTTGACACACCTGCAAAGAAATATATCTGACAAAATACCACCACCATTTAAAACAATAGGAGCCCTGGCATTAATTTCAACAGGGCTAGGATTTTATCCTGTTTGCAGGGGAGGACGCACTGGGCCCAGTTCTTCACCTGGGCTTTTCTGGAAGAAGCAGAATAGGGAAACAGCAGTAGCACCAGCATCATTACAGGCAGCAGTACTGGTAGAAATGGGAAAGAGGGGAAATCAGCTTAGATACCTAGATGCTTAACCACACAAATCCCAAAGTTCAGGTGAAGATACTGGGTAAATGTCAAAATTATGGATGAGTAACATGGCTCCTGCATGCATCATGAAACCACAAGTATCTGAGCAGGTTGTTTCAAATAGATGCCAGAAAATCTTTTGTGCAAGAATTTCACATGTTCTCTCTACATACATATGACCTGTTATAGCAAGATGCTTTTATTCAGAAAATCTTCTTTTAAAAATGTTGTTGGCATTGTTTATCACATCCCTCCTATTTCAAATACTTCAGCTGTTCTGCTAGTAGTAGGTATTTGCTTGTGTGGCTCTTGTTTTACAAGAGGGAAATAACTAGTTAACATGAGAAGAATTTAAAAATCACCTGCAATAGATTTTCCATGCATAAGAGCATCTTGATTTTAAGGTCAGAATCCTCTAAGTCAGGAAGTAAACGCTATTATCAAATTAAAGAGTTGGGAGAATCTCCCATTTCCTGACAGACCAGGCAGTCGATTTCTAGTCCTTGAGTGGCTGGACCTTTTGTCTGTCACCGATCCAGGGGTGAACAGCATTGTTCACTCTGTTCCTGAGGTCAGGGCAATTTACAGGGGAGGAAGAAGGAAACATTTTTCTGGAAGGGTTTTTATTTATTTATTTACTCTGCAAAATCTCAGAGGCCTGGATTGCCAAAAGGCTGCCCAACAGAGAGTGATTAACCATCAAAATCACAACAGGGGTGATCAGAATTGGATTCTATCTGACCTTGTATGAAATGCAAACTTCTAGAGAGCAATTCAACTTAGAATCTGAGGTCAGATTGCACTGGAAGTGCTTCATATGTCTTCTGGTATTTTTCCCAGATCCTACAGGGTTTCTGTGGGTGCTGTGGAGTGCATGCAAAAAACAGAGTTCCTACGTGTCCCTCGGCTGCCTGGCGGAAGAGAGACCCCAAATCAGGCTGCCTCTTCCACACCATTCCCTAAAGCCTGCTCCCAGAATCTCACTTTCTGAGGGATTTTGCATACCACTTCTTTTCCTCCAGAAGTTGCACTAAAAGAAAAATTTTTATAAAGCATGAGAACACTGGAGCTGATTTTGTCTGGTATCAGATGTCTTGGACAGCTTCCTTGGCTGTGGGGGATCCCTGTCTTGGGAGCAGGAGGGTACGCATAGGCAGTGAGAGCTGCAGTCTAGTGCTGCCAACTGGGGAGCAGAGGCACTGGGACCTTCTAGGATGCCCAGGGCTCCTAGCACATGGCAAACTACCCTGGAGTCACAGCTGCTGGAAACATTGGTGCCCTGGGGCACAGGGAGTTCATCAGGCCATGTTTCTGGGAAGAGTACCCTGAAACTACCACCACCACAGTGATAGTGGTGTCACTGTAGTGGCTTAAAGACATAGGCCAGGGAAGACTTGAAGGCAGAATTTAGAGCAACTAAAGGAGTATTAAAACTAGACAGCCCTCAGGCACACAAGCCATTTCCCATGTCTCCACTTCTATGAATTGTTATGGTTTGCAAGGATCATCAGTTTTGGTGCTAAATACTCCTCTCAAGAAAATTTCTGGCCACCTCTGCCAATGGGGCACAAGGATGTCCTTTACTCCTTTCTCTGTCTCACATGAGAGTGAAATGGTATTTTCTTTTTTTTTTCACTGGCTAAAGATTCATTTTCAGCATAATCATGAGTTGTAAGTATCATACAGCCCAAGCAGTGGAACTTGGCTCCCGAACCTTTTGCAAACCTTGAGCATTCCTGGCTAGGAATTTTGTGCAAGCCTTTTTTAATGAACATACCTGAACTATGAATTTCTCTGGGTTCTGAAGAACTCAATACAGAATTAGCTTCTTGCTCTCCCTAACTTCAGTGGCAAGTGCATTTGTCATTGTCACTTGACAGAAAACTCGAACAGTTAACATCTTGGACTGATATTGTATGAAGGTACATTCTCTGCTTTTATGGAGATCTAGCAATCAAGACAAATATTTATGCTTGAGATCTTGCAGCTCGTGATTGCTCTCTGCAGTAAAATTATATGTTTTCTTTTATCACCATTTCTGATTACATAATCAAATGAAAGAAATAAACCTCCATGGAAGGGTTTTTTTTACAACTTCTGTCTAACCTGTCTGTACACTGTTGTACATTATGATTCTATCCAGTCTGTAACTTGAGTTTCTTGGATATGGAAAATACATGTCTAATTCTTTAAAAAAATGTTAACAGGATATTTCCAAGTTCCCAGACAAAGATTATACAGTGCTGGGTGAAGGTGGAATCATTCTCAGTGGAGGCCAGCGAGCACGAATCTCACTAGCAAGGTGAGTATTTTACTTGCTAAGTAAAGTACTGCTTCTTGTATAAGGTAATTATTATGAGTGAGCACTTAAATACACGTGGACCAAGTCCTGTTAAATAAATACCCTCGAGGTATATCAGGAACTTCATTTTTCTCTCAGAAATCTGAGTTTTGCTATGCAACTGTCTGTGATACACCTGCATGTTTCTTGATTGAATTTTAAAGATTTGATGTCAGATGCGTGCCATGGCTTAGCTGAAGATAAATCTTTCGCTCTCTGATGCAAGATGTGTTTGGTGATTTAGACCTGTGTAGCTTTCTAAGTACCAAAGAAATCGTACAAAAGATTCCAGATGAAAAAAAATCCATGTTTCAAAAAATGTTGTTAATAGTTTTGGTTTTATTGTTGTAAAAAGAAAAAGTGGAATAATGGAATCATAGAATGGTTAGGAAAGCAATAGCTAGTCAGTACTTATGAATAACGATTTGGCCTTGTCTGTTTGACCTTCCAGTGTTAGTAAGTAATTTTGAAGGTCTACAGAACAATAATGTAGGTGTTTGTCTAACAAATTTGCAATGTGTTTAAGTGGGATCACTAAGCTATCATCAGAGGTTCAGTAATGACAGCTCTGATGAGTAAATGGCTCCATTTGTTTCTGTTGCAAGTGCAAATTGTGATGGTTCCCATGCTCAGAAACTCTGTGTAGAAGTTAAATCACATTATGATGATCCACACTAATATTCCAAGAAAGACATGCATGTCTGTGTAAGGCTAAAAGATGGGTTCATTAACACAGAGAGGCTTTCAGTGTGGATCTTTTTAGAAAATTTGTGAGAGGGAAGAGGCATATGGGTGGTTCTGATTTATGTGGTAAGAGAGAAGGGAAGGAGCTGGCAAAGCGTTCAGAGCAAAAAACCCCAGCCAACAAACCCTACTCAGATTTTCATTTAAAATTCAACATTTAAGGAAATATTTCCCAGATTCTGTGGATAATTGCATCTGTCACTTTTCAGATAGTCACAGCTCATTTACTAGAGGGTGGCAGAACTGATACAATACATTTATTGTCAGCTACATAATTATTATTACAAAAAAAATTAAATGTCCGAAAGGCATGGCTGTATCTGCTTTTCATTTTGTTTGGGCTCCAGTCTAAGCTCAGCATGCTGCAAGGTGTGCAGGCGATTGAGGTGTGGGCTGCAGATAAAGCTCTAAGAAAGCTAGAGGAGAAATTTAGGATTACAGTCTTATCTGCACTGCTCATAAGCTGGATGTTATTTGCTTGGACTAGCTGCATTCACATTTCTGGTGTAGTCTGTGCAGTGTCATGTCAAATGAGACTCCCAGCTGGAAGTGCCATCACCCAGCCATCATGAGAAACTGATAGAGATTGCCTTAAGTCCATCTTTCTTATAGAGCTTTGTCAGTGCCTTACAGCTGTAACAGGAGGAAAGAAAAGATCGAGGGATAAAAATAGCCTCTGCCCTGGGTTTGAGCTACCTCACTGGCCTGGTACCCTAAAGGTGGTCATGTATAGCTACTAAGCCCAACATACCAATTATAGCAATAATTTGAGTGCTGCCATTATTCTGGGGGAAAAAAAAAAGTGAACTTTTTGCTGATAAAAGTGCCAAGAACAGTATGAACTTTTGTTGTTGTGCAGCCACTGCCTCATAATGTATGGTCAGTGAAATCCATTGTGACAGAGGATTTTTCAATAAAGTTGCTTGGTTCATTATCATAATATACTATTATTATTGAGGGCTTTTTCTCCTGGTAGTTAAATATTTTCACATTGTTTAACATAATTACTTTAAAATTCATTTTAGAGTACTTTAAAAAGTACCAAAATGCACCTGTCCAAATTTTCTTTACTAATTACACCCTGATTCATATCACTTCATGATTTTCATACTCACAGAGGTAGATAAGAGGCCTTTTTGAACTTCTGCTGAAATTGATTTGAAATAAAAAACCCTCTTAACCACAGGTTTAGGTCTCAGTGATCCATGTCCAGGCACATAAAGCTTAAGGTCCTAATGCTACAAATAGTTTTTCATGTCCTGAACACAAACTGTTGTACAGCTCCATTTCGGATAATGTTTGCAGGTCATGGCTCACTAATACACTTGTCTTTGCTCACCAGTTGTTTTGAAGTACTTTTAAAACTAAGTGCTGAGACCTAAGTCTTTTCACACACTTAATTACATTTATGTAGTATTCCCTCAGGTATCAGTAGGCATTGCAGTAAGTACTAAATTCCCATTTAAATGGTCATTGTACACTGATGGGGACTGTCAGACTCAGGCCAGAAACAGGTCTTTAGAGTAACCTATGTAAAGGCAGCTGTAAAGCTTCCTTTGACTGGCAGAAATTAAGGGAAAACCGAGTTCGTTTGTAAAATAGTCTGCAGCAAGGAAAGGCTTTACTGAAAGGTGTCTTACGAGCACATTTAACACAGAACTCCAGCTCCACACTGATGCTGTCAAAAAGTCTATCAGTTACGAGTTTCTGAGACAAAACTGTAAAGGCATTCTCTTTAAGTTGTATTTGTGTAGATTTGTAAGACTTGTGAAAGTTAATGTCATTTCCATTTTCTCTGTTCAGAGCAGTGTATAAAGATGCTGATTTGTATCTCCTGGATTCTCCTTTTGGGCATTTAGACATTTTTACAGAAAAAGAGATATTTGAAAGGTAATGTATGTTTTGATAGATTGTATTTAAGCAAGCAGCACAAAGTAAAACCAAGAACAGAAATTTAGTAAAAGTACAAAAATACTGAAGTGATCAAAATTATACCTTTTAGGGCCATTTATTTTAAGGCATTGTGACTGAGTATTTTGTGTTAGCAGTAGGACAGCATACCGTGCTGGGGACAAGCCTGGGCCAGGTGTGAGCATTAATGCTCCTTCTTCCATCTCAACATATTGAGCCTGCTTCTGCTATAATCTATTATTTCCAGAGAGCATGGCTTTGTATCTGGTGTATCTGTGTACCAGAAGGGCTTTCATTTTAAAACACTTACCTGCTTTGTAAGCATAAAGTTTTACAAAAAGCTGTATTATGTCTTGTTCTTCTAATCACTGAAAGACTAGTCACCTGAAAGTGTCCACTTACCAGGAGATTGGCAGCAGGTAGGCCAAAGACAGAGACTTTTGGCTTGTCCTGCAGGTGAAGCTTCAAAGAGTAAGGACACGAGCACTGTTATACATGAGCTCTTCAGTCACCATAAGTTTGATATTTTGAAATCGAGCTAATACTTTTAAGTTTGGTAGCAAAAGACCTAAGTGACCCGAAGATGAAAAGAAGTATTTAATTTTCATGCTGAACTCTGCTTTTTGGATTGACCTGAACATGATTAAATTTTCCCCTCTTTTTTATGGTTACTGTGACAAAAGTACTCACCCTTTACACATCTCAGCCTTACCACTTTCTTTGTAGTTTGAGGGAGCACCCAAGGCTGCACATACTGGGAGGGGGGCAGGTAAAAGGAAATAGATTGAAAATGAAAGGGATGTAAGCAATATTTAATCAGGAAGAAAAAAATTAACTTTTAACACTTTCATCTCTTATAGCTGTGTATGCAAGTTGATGGTGAATAAAACTAGGATCTTAGTTACTTCAAAACTGGAACATTTAAAGATTGCTGACAAAATACTAATTTTACATGAGGGGAGCTGCTATTTCTATGGAACATTTTCTGAACTTCAGGGTCAACGGCCAGACTTCAGCTCAGAGCTGATGGGATTTGATTCTTTTGATCAGTTCACTGCAGAGAGAAGAAATTCGATACTAACCGAGACTCTCCGACGATTTTCCATTGAAGGAGAAGGCATGGGATCACGAAATGAATCCAAGAAGCAATCTTTTAAACAGACCTCAGATTTTAATGACATAAGGAAGAACTCCATAATTATTAACCCCCTTAATGCAGGGAGGAAGTTCTCAGTAGTGCAGAAGAATGGAATGCAGGTCAATGGGATAGAAGATGGCTACAATGACCCACCGGAAAGGAGGCTCTCACTGGTACCTGACTTGGAACAGGGAGATGTAGGTCTGCTTCGGAGTAATGTGCTAAACACTGACCATATGCTGCACGGTCGGAGGAGGCAGTCTGTGTTAAATCTGATGACGGGCACCTCTGTGAACTATGGATCAAACTTTTCCAAAAAGGGAAGTACAACATTTCGGAAAATGTCTATGGTGCCCCAGACAAACCTGTCTTCTGAGATAGATATCTATACCAGGCGCTTGTCTCGAGACAGTGTCTTGGACATAACTGATGAAATCAATGAAGAGGATTTGAAGGTGTGTGTTGATTTACATTCATCTTGGGTTTTGATATGGTGATAGTTTAGTGCAATATACTCCTTACATATTTTTCTACTTGACTGTGTCAGTCCTAATGCAGTTCTTCCCTGTGGATTATCCTTTTGGAATATCCGTGAAATTTTTTTAACTCAAATATCATCTTGAAATCATGGAAATCCTCAAAAAAATATTTTGCCTGATTTTTTGTAGTTTTCAAATGCTATTTGTAGAGGATTTCAATGCACAGTTTTAATCTCTGCATTTTAATCTACCTTTAAGATTATGCTAAAATGAAATTTGGAACCATAACATGGGAAACATTGTTTTAAAACATTTATGTAAAATTGACATTTGAAACGTGAAGGCTCATGAAAAAAATGAAATACATTTGAAATAGTAGCACAGTTTTAAAAACTCAGATTTGATCATATTTGGCAAATTCGTCAGACTGCTTAGCTCTTCTGTTCCGATACAGATAACGAACAGAGGTATAAGCTGGATTTTACTCTGGTTTTATGGATGGAAATGATGCAATTAAGGTTGAGTTTTATTAACAAGAACTGGACCAAAACTCCTTTTTTCTACTAACTGTCTACCGGTCACGATGAACTAATTTCATTTTCAAAACTGACAGCTGATTTTCACAGGATAGGAAAAATTTTCTGAAGTAGTTTCCTAGGTGGAAAAAAGTCTACAAGAAATGTTTAAACTCCCAATTTGCTGCAGCACTGCCCATTTTTTCTTTTGCTTTATTGATCTCAGCAGAAAAAAACAAAACAACAAAGCAAACCAAAGTCTCAGATTATTTACAAATTTATTTTAACTGCACAGTAAGAATCTCCACTGACAGAAAACAGCTACTGATTAATCATTTCTGGGCTTCTAGGAGTGCTGGACAAATCTTGGTTGTTTCTTTCAGTGTTGTCTGAAAATTTCAAATTATCTCTAAACAGTTTTCTTATATCAAAGATGACTTAACCTGTCAGTACCTTCCTCTCTAGGCGTTATCAGCCAGTTTCAATGCTGCAGTTCAGTTATTTGGACTGAGTTAGCAGAGCAGCATTCGTGTGTCAGAAATTCTCATGATATGAATTATAAATAGATATAATAATTTATAATTCGTATATGAATTTAAATAGATATTATCGTTCTTAGTATGGTCCTATGAATTCTTTGACAGGAATGCTTCACTGATGATGCTGAAAGCATGGGTACTGTTACTACATGGAATACCTATTTCAGATATGTTACCATCCACAAAAACTTGATTTTTGTTCTGATTTTGTGTGTGACTGTCTTCTTAATTGAGGTAAGAAAATCTGCACTTGATGTCATGTTACTACAAAGGATATTTGTTCAAACTTTTTTCTTTGTGATATAAGGGTATATGGAAAAAGCATCAGCTCATTATAAACATTAGCTCATGTATGAATCACTTATTGGCAACTGCTGTTAAATGATACTGCAGTGACTTTTCTACTGCTTAGATGAGCATTTCTCACCAAAGATAGTGATTAGTGTATGGCAGCAGAAGACCCACCTACTCAAATTATCACACTTATTTTCTGCTGTGTGGTACCAAGCTAAGAATTGTTGTCCTATCCAGGTCTCTTGTTCACAGGTGAATAATCTTCCATTTTCCATTATAAATACCGTTCAGAGCCTTGGGGGCTTAACAGCAACAATTACTTTTTCTTTTTTTCTATGAGCACATGCATAAATTCTGGAGATTGCTTTCAAAAAAGAGTTAGAAGCTTTGCTCCTAGTGAAAGAAGAGTGGTAATGCAGAGGGCCCAAACGCCTGTGGCAGCATTTGAAGATGGATGGGGTGTTCCTGCAGCATGCAGAGAAGACTTTTTCCAAGTACAGTGGAAAACACTATCAGAAAAAGTGCTGAAGAACATGTCTGATCATGCAAGTCTGACTAGTTTTCTTATAACAGAAATTGCCTGCATTTGACTTGTCTCCCAATTTAGTAAAGACATTTAGCATATATACAGTATCTCATAGTGTCCTCTTTTACACCTAGGATTCTAAATCAAGTGTTTTTCTGAGGGAAGGAACATGTTTCAGAGAGAAGACTGGGAGATTAATGAGCCTGTATTCATATGTCAGCTGGTAAAATATGGTACCAACTTCTCTTGGCATTTTGCAGCATGAAATGAAAGAAAAGAATAATCCGTCAGGAATTCCATTAGAACTAGTTTTGGGCTGACTGTGTCAGTGAAAGGTTTTGAACAGTTCTGTGGTGGTATTCAAACTTCTAGTATGAAAGATATGAGTGGAGAAGGATATGATTGATGGTATCCTGAACCTACACTAATATTATGTTGCAGGTGATTTAAATTAGTTCTTTTGGACCAGGAATAAAGCCTGGAGCTTAGATCAAGTTTGAGATCCCAAATTTTTAAACCACCTCCACAAGCAAGACAGTATTTAGATGCACAGCTGTTCTTGTGTAAGTTCTTTTTTTTCCTGGTAGTGGAAGATGCCTACATTTGTGTAAACCTATAATAGCAAGGCTAAATGTGAGTTTTAGGGAAAAACGAAATTTTAACTTTGAGGTATATCAGATTTATCACTGTATATTCAGCATACATTTCTAATCTTGATTAAATCTTTTTTCTTTTTTAAATTTGACTGAAAACTTTTTAAATAATTCAAAAGCCTTATCTTCTAATTGGAGAACAAATCTCGTGACAAAGAATGTATCCATCTAAGTTAAACTTTCCAGTATGACTATTGCTTAAGTAAAAGCCTATTGATCAATTAATGGGCTGGAAGATATTCAGCCATAGCACAGACTATTTAACCTTTAGCAAATCTTTGTGCATGAGATGAAATACTGTGCCAAGTGGTTATGTGGCCTGTGCTAAGTTTCTACCCTTCTAAACCTAGACAATGAAGAGAGGATAGGGGTGATCATCCAAGAGCTGAACTGAGAGAGTAGTGACACATAAATTAGAAGTGGAGTTGTGACACCCTTCAGAGCTGCGTGGGAGTGTTGTGGAAATGCTGGAGATACTATCTTAGATTTAGAATGAATTGCTCTGTGTTGTAGATTCCAAGGTGAGTCCACACAGATCACCATAAACAGGGCATCAGTTGTACATTCTTCCTAGATTTGTGGGGTTTTGTGTTTGTAGCTCTTCTAAGTGGCTCAAAACTATATTTCCTAGATGTAATATGCAGAGACTAGGATTGCTGAACTGGAAGAAGAGCAGTTACAAATGGAAACATATAGGAAGGCTTTGTGAAGTTATTCTGTTACTATATTGTCTACCTTCATCTTCACAGCTGTAAAACTCCTCTGTGGTGAGAAGTCAAGATGAGAAAAGAATTCTGTTGGGAGATGTGAAAATATTATTGTGAAAGAAGCCTGATCCTCACAAATGGTTAAATTCAGGGCATCATGGTCAATCTTGAGTTATTTACTGTAAGACCTCCAAAAGTTAGTGGTTCCTAAGGAGAAGAATTAATTATGTAGCAAGGTATTATGGCAATATATTCCTGTACCAGTGCCATAAAAATATATGGGAAGAGTACTGTAGAAACTATGTCAACCTTTAGAAAAAAGATTATAGTCAGAAGTAGAGCAGACTGAAATGTGCTGGACTGCATGAAAATCTCCAGTGTCTCACTGGACAGACAAGAAATTGTGTTACAGAGTAAGCTTCTGTTGAGCACTGAAGCATCTCACAATAAGAATGGTTCAATTCCACATTCAACAAGTATTAAAGTAGATTATGTAGAGAATTATGTAAATGTCAGACAAGTTGATATATCAGCTATAGGTATCAGCTAGCAAGAACAACAATGCAAAAATAACAGTGTTAAAGGTTTGACATTTGTATTAGAATAGCTGCCTTTGAAGATATTGAGAGACTCTTTTAGGAAGAAATATTAGTCTTTAAAACTTAAAATATGTTAAAGTGTACAGTGAATATTCCTTGTCATTAGGAATGCATTAGCAAGCCTTTGTTAATAGTAGGCTAAAAAACAACGAAAGAATATTTAGGCACTTGAGAGCCTGATTGTAATACAAGTCTAAATGTAGCTTTCCCGGTGGGATGCACTAAATAGTTTCTGTGGAAGGAGGATCAGTTATTACAAAGTTTTTGCTTCAGGGAAGTTTGACTTCCATCCATTTATAATGCTCTCTCTAAAAACAATTATAAAGTCAGTAAAAGAAGACAAGTAAGAAAAAGTGCATAATGTGACAAGACAAAAAAAAATGACTCTGTTTTCTTTGGTCACAGGTAGCTGCTTCTCTTGCAGGATTATGGTTTCTTAAAAAGTAAGTAGTGAGAATCTGGGGTGTCCATTGTATTGATTTTTGCTATAAATAATAAACTCGGCCAGAATTCTATATGGAATAGGCACTAGTTTATATTCCATAAAATGGTTCAGTGATGGATGATCTAAATCCCTCATGTAGGTGGTATCTTAAGCTGGTACTTCTTTAAGTGCTAACAATCAAATTGTTTGTGCCTTGTAACTGAGCACATAACACACACAAGACTTTTCCTGGGTCAGCTGACTCTAGAGTTGCATGGACTTAATTGTCCTGAATACACTGTTCATCGCTTTCAGAGCATGCCAGGTGAGACATTTGCTGAGGAACATTTTAAGGGAGTAGTTTCTGTACATGTGTACAATTGCCTCTGCTCACATGTGAAAAATCCTCAGAAGTTACAGGGTCAGGCAGATGAAGGTTAAAATATACAGAGCAGCAGTATGGCTTTTCCTGGGCTAATGCTTTTGATCCCTGTTCTTGTACTGCAGCGCTAAGTCTGAAAGCATATGGTGACATAGCTCTGATGAGGAGGAGGGGTTTATGTTGATGTCCCCCTAACAGTAGGTCGCTAAGATGTTTGATTTTTACAGTACATCTAAAGCATTTTACTTCCAGAATAATTCTTTTCTTTTCAATGCTTAAACCTTTTTCTTTTCTTCTTAGAAGTAGATGCATTTTCCTTGATTAGGCTAGTTTTGTTAGTGATTTAGCAGGCAGTAGGATATGCAAGGGATTACCAAAGCAGTATATTTTCACAGTAGTTTGGGGAAAATTGTTGGAGGGGTTGTAGTTATACCATGAGCTTAATTTCCATCTTGGTAAAAACTCCTTCACTGCACAATTGGAACTAATTTCAGAAATTACTGCGAATGCCAATAGGTGCCAGAAGCACCAAAGGTAGCTGAGGAGATGAATAAGCCATTTATTGCCTTGACCCCTGAACACACACAGGGTTACTTTGCCTCAGTGAATCGTAGAGTAGTTCATAAGTTACATTACAGACATACAGGATGATATTTAAAAGTGACTGGAAATATATATAACTAACCATTAGCATAGTTTTTAAATAAATGAACATTGAAATACTGTTTAGTAGAGAAAATAAAAGAGAAAAAAAATGCAATTTCCAGTAATGCATTTATTTTTAATTTCCATCGAGCAGGATAGCATTGAAAGCAAATACAACACAATCAGAAAACAGTACCTCTGACAAACCTCCTGTGATTGTCACTGACACTAGCAGCTACTACATCATTTATATCTACGTGGGAGTGGCAGATACCCTGCTTGCTATGGGACTCTTCAGAGGTTTGCCCCTTGTGCATACGCTTATCACAGTGTCTAAAACTCTTCATCAAAAGATGGTGCATGCGGTTCTTCATGCACCTATGTCAACATTCAACTCGTGGAAAGCAGGTAATTGAAATGGGAACTCATTGACTCCTGTATGGGTTTCATTTCAATTAAACAGTTTTCATTCTGTTAAAGGATACTGTTGGTTTCCATTTACATTTTCAATCAAGCTGAATGTTAGAAGTTTGCCACATGAAGTAATTTGTGAATCTTTTAATGAGTCTTGATTGCTCTATAAGTGTGACATATTTCAGTTGTCAATTCTGATTCTGAAATATCACCTTGTAAGTTAGAGAAAATGAACTGTTAACTGTTTGAGGCAATAAAACTAGAATAGCTTCTAATGAATAGACCTTGTCTAAAACTGCAATAGAAAAGCTGTAGTCAGCTATGTGGTGACTGACAAGGAGTCAGATGTGGATGAGAAATAGTGCTTTATTTCATAAGTAGTGGTACTAAAATGGCATAAAACATCAGTTAGTGTGAATAATGGTATGCGTATTCAAATTTGGCTCTCGAGTTGATACAGAGTTCATTATGTAACTGGTGCAACAAGTTCTATCTCCCGCTGTACATGAAATTCCTACTTTCTACCCTTCTTTCTGCTGCTTACTAAATTACAGGAGATGCTGGTAAATGACAATACAGCATAGGGTTTCTCCTTCATTTTCCCCTTAAATTCTTAATTCTGTTGTTACCTGGTGATTAATACAATAATTCTGCTCAGAAGCTAAGAAACTGGTGTGCAAACTCATGCAAATGCTGCTGTGCAAATTAGATGTATCAGCAGAGCCTGCTGCATAAGAGATACAGACCTAATGCTTTGTGTTTGGGTTTTTTTGGTTGGTTTATTTTTTTTCAAAATTCCAAAAGTTGAAACAGAAGTTGCAGAGCCAAATTCTTCCATGGGGAAAGAAGCTGTAGCTCCAATAAACTGTAGCAGAATTGCATGTAATAGAAAAAATCTTGTACTTATCCTTAATATTTTGTATTCAGAAAAAGTTGTTCTTTTTATAAAAGTAATAAATATAGGATTTTGGGGGTGTTAAAATGCTTGACTTTATTTTCCTTTTTTGTTTTTCTCAATCCATAGGTGGTATGCTTAACAGATTTTCAAAAGATACGGCAATACTGGATGACTTACTTCCACTTACAGTATTTGACTTCATTCAGGTTTGTAGAATAAAAGTTCTAAATTTTGCTGTCGTAGCACTGTAGAGTTTCAGTTGTACATTATGCAAAAGAAATCTTACTAAGAAGAAGAAATAACAGCTGGAATTAAATCCCTATCCCTTTTTTTCAGTCTGTATACCTATTTACATACGTGCTTATCTTGTACGTTGGCTTCATCGCTTCTTTTTTGAGTACTTGGGTATATGTGTACCTCCACTGTTTGTGCAAACCACTTTTAGCACTCAGACTCAGAAACATTTTTGCCCCACATACCCCTACAGTACAAGTATCCCTGCTTCTGCCTGCATTCAACTTCAGAGGTATAAAGGGCATTCCTTAGTTTCTTTTGGTTGTCATGGCTCAAGATTAGTATTTTTTTCCATGCTTTCCTTTGATTGCATTAATTAATTTTCATGACTTTACGTCCTTAGCCTTTTCTGTTCCCAGTTTGCTAGCATCACTCCTAATTTACTACTTCTCTTTTCTTGAATATATTCTTGGTTTTCTGTTCTTTTTTCTTCCGTGGAAACTCTTCCAGGACTGCCTTATTGGGTAGTTTGAACCATGATCATGATGTGTTCAAATTTCAGATGGGCAGTTCTGTGTGCTTTTTTTTGCCTTTTTTTTTTTTTTTCCCCTTCACAAGTTTGACTGCCTAATTTTGTCTTTATTCCTTTGCATCTTTGTGGCTTCTCCTGAATCTCTGGGATTTAAGCTGAGTCTGTCAGGCACTGGATAACTATTTATGATAGAGGAGAGCTTTAAATGACTCTACGCTTTGAAGGAATTTTACATTCCTAAGATGTAAAATCATAGAATGATTTGGGTTGGACAGGACCTTAAGATCATCTGGTTCCAACCCTGCCATGGGCAGGGACACCTCACACTAGGCCATGTCGCCCAAGGCTCTGTCCAACCTGGCCTTGAACACCACCAGGGATGGGGCATCTACCACTTCTTTAGGCAACCTGTGCCAGTGCCTCACCACCCTCACAGTAAAGAACTTCTTCCTTGTATCTATCCTGAATCTCCTCCCCTTACCTCTTCTCCTATCACTACAGTCCCTGATGAAAAATGTCTCTCTGGCATCCTTGTAGGCCCCCTTCAGATATTGGAAGGCTGCTATGAGGTCTCCATGCAGCCTTCTCTTCTCCAGGCTGAACAGCCCCAATTTTCTCAGGCTGTCTCTAGTCCCCTTTAGTTGTAGAATTGCAAACTTTTCATTTTTTGTATGGAAAGGCTTGTTTCCAGTATCCACCTTGGGAAACTCCATGCATTGCAAAATCCTGAGTTTTGAATGACCTTCCAATTCATCCACACTGAAGAGAACATTGAACAAATACAGAGATAGAGGCAATTCCAGTGTTTGTCAAGGAGGATGCCTTTGTTTACTTCCCATACTGCCTATTCTGAGACCTAGTAGCTTTATGTGGATCCCAGCACCCCTCTAGTGTCCCACCACTGGTGCTGCAATGCCAGCTTTTCCTCAGGTAGAGCTAGTTCCCAGAACATATGAAAAATAAAAGCAAGTCTCCCCCAGCCCTCCTGTTCTTCTCTGCCTTTATTTAGGAGGTGAGCAGGCCTGACTTAATCAACCCAAACACGCTGCTGCACAGGTTACCTGTCTTCTTCCTCTGTGAGTTTGCTGTGCTTTACAATCCCTACCAGCATGATGGTCTGATCAAAACCAAATCACTTTCCCTATATCTTTGTAATTGATAACTTAGGCTTGTGACTTTAGAGAGGCTAGTGCAATTCCACATGAAGAGGTTCAATGACATTACAGCTCTACTTCATGTCCCGCTGATGTCATGAAGATTTGCTGAAGGAGTAAACATGGACACTGAGACTTTCTCTGAATCATTAATGTCATCTTTGGTGTGATCAGGATTCACCAGTGTCTTTTCTGATGTGGCTATTTTGTTTCTGGTATGATTCTATGATTCTGTGATTTTGGATCTGTCATAAGGATGTTATTCCAAAATTATTTTAGTGAGTCTGTCTCTATGTTTCAGACTCTCTACACTAGTTTCTTATATTTTCAACAATGAGGAAAAATCCCTAGATTTGGCTTCTCTGTTGTGAAGCCTTTCAGAGGCTAACCTATGTTCCGATATCCCATAGGTTCACCTCTGTCTCCTCAGTCTCAACTGCAGAGACTCCTGAACATCCGTGATAAGCTGCCTTGTCTTTTCTGGTTCTTCTGGTGAAGATCATCGAACCTACTTGAATGCTGTCTTGAATGCTTTTCACGAATCATCCCTTCATAAAAAAATTCCTTCAGATCTTCCATAGATTCAGGCTTGTTTGGAAGCTTGGACTTCCAAATTCCATGGACCCTGCTAAAGAGGACTGCTAAAGAGTTCCTGAAAGAGGAACTCTGCTTATTATTGCAGAATGTGGGAGTGACCTCTGGACCTAGGATCTGGGACCTTGCCAACCCCTCTGCTTAAAGCAGGTTCAGCTAGAGCAGGTTGCTCAGGACCATTGGATTTTGGATATCTCCAAGGGTGGACACTCCACAAGTCCTCTGAATAACGTGTTCCAGTGGTTGACCATGTCCACATTTATTGTGGGGATGGTCAAAATAATTTTTTTCTTATGTTTAAATGGAATTTTGTGCATTTCAGCTTGAGCTTATTGCCTCTTTATCTTCCCACTGAATACCACTGATGCATTTTCTCTGCACCAAATACCTAGTGGTATTTATATAAATAGAATATAATTGTTAAATATGTATAATTTATAAAAATATCACATATACAGAAATTAATGATTTATATAATAAATACCATCGGGTACTTATACAAAGTGATAAGATCCCCTAAGCCTTCTCTTAAGGCTAAACAATCCCAGCTCTATCAACCTGTCCTTGTATGTGAGTCCCTTTATCATCTTCAAGATGAAGATGATAAGTTTTTTTAGGACTTTATGGGCAGTAGACTTATCAGGGGGCCTTCCCTTTCAGGGACGAGGGCTTTTCATCCAGGATGAGTGAAGCTTCAGGTTGAAAAAGGCCAGGGTTACTCTCCAGTTACTGGGATGTACCCAGTTGCCCATAAAGGAAACAGTGGTATCAGACTTCATATCAATGACGAGAATGGCATCTGTGATGCTTTCTCTGACAGTTGTCTGGCCTGCTTCCATACATCTTGGGTATGAATTGTAGCTTATGACTGCAGTAGCATTACCAATAGTTTTAACATCCATCTTGGTCTTCTACCAGTGCTTACAGTGGGGCTATCATTTCTTGGAGATCCTTCATGTGAGATGCTGCTAGCATATATTGCTTGTCCCTAAGGTCACCCTCAAAAAGTCATGGTGAACTCACTGGACATTTATACCTATGGTCATGACTGGTTTTCCCTAAATAATAAACCTCCATTGTTTAACCAAATTGGCTGCTGCAGTCATCACCACCGTGAACCCTTACCGAATTGCTGTCTCTACCACCAGCTGCATTTCCAAACTGGTGACACAGAGGAAGCATTGGAACATGTCTCCCCATCTGGCCTCTGTCTCAGGCCTGAAAGCTCAGCACCTGGGGCATGGCAGTACAGCACTGTGGCTCTTAACTGGGCTATATGAGCCCTCTGCTGCTGTTCCCTGGCACGCTGGCTCGTGCCTTGATTTTTGCTACTGCCGTTTTAGAGAAGGTGTCATCTGTTCGCCTTTACACTTATTTTGCTATTGCATTGCTCAGATTTCTGATTTAAAAAAAAAAAAAAAAGGGTAAGAAACCTGGAACATGCTTACCTGTTCCTGAAAGACCTCTGACTTGAAGTACTGGAAATTTAAATCCTTCTTTGAATTTATGTAGATGTAGTAGCAAAGGCACCACCAGCAGGTTTCTTTCTAATGTGAAATTAGTTTTGCTTTCCATCTATTTCTTTGCTGAGTGGTCATTTCAAGTGATGTTTCAATGTGATGTTCATCATTTTGTCCAAATTGCAGTTGTTTTGGGCAGGTAAGTTTGCTGTTTGAAGTAGTTCAGTGTGAAAGGTAACACCCTGACGCAAAGCAGAACTTTGCTATTCTGTGTACACTGATATACTTGATTTTCATTAGATTTCGGTATGAGACAAAAACAGTCTAAGTGCTTAAGGTGCTTCTAGAGTAAAGATCAAAGCCTGATTTAGCTAAATCTGTCCGGAGCTACTGAGGATGAGGTCTTCTGAGAACTGTAGTAGTCTCTGGTGGGTTTAATGGATTAACTCTGGAATAAATTTGTTCCTTTTGAGTTATCTGTCTCCTTAAACCACCTTTTTTTTCTTCTGAAACTACTAATTTTTCATACCACTAATCATCTTATGACTTGCTTCCTCTCTTCTGATCAGGACAAGTAGTAGTCAGCTCCTGACAGTCTGGCAGCCCTAGTCCAGACAAGACAGGGACACCACCAGTAGGTTTGGGAGGTGGTTGCAGATACTGCAAGTGGTGTTTTTGCTATTTTAACTGGACAGTGAATGCCTAGCTGCCATTGTTTTTGTGTGGCTTTGTGATTTAGAAGCCTTCAATTCTGGTTGTACAACAGAAAACACTTCTTCCATCTATTAAAAAAGATGGCAGCTATTCCAAGAGGTTATGGATCTGATCTGTGTTATTCAAGATCTTTTCATGGAGGTTTGTTCTCAGCTGCAAATCTTACTTAGGTTAGCACTTTGTGTTTGTTGAAGCAATACATAGTTGCCATGGGAAGGAGATTCATCACCAATCTCTAGTCTATAAAATGACAAGTTTACTGTATCAATAGTATTTTTCTTTCATTCTACAGTTAATACTGATTGTGATTGGCGCTATAACAGTAGTCTCAATATTACAACCCTACATCTTCCTGGCATCAGTGCCTGTGATAGCAGCCTTTATTATGTTAAGGGCATACTTCCTCCACACTTCTCAGCAGCTGAAACAACTGGAATCTGAAGGTAGGAGCAGCAAAATTGGTAGAATTCTAAATCCACAACAAATCAATTGAGAAGCGATTCACCCTTTTACCTCTTCTTTGCCTTTCCTCTTCCAAGGTGCCATTGCTTCTGGGAGCAGAACATTTTTCTCCTTAAAAACAGTGCTGTTACTGATCCAGCCAATACTAAGTGCTCTGCTGCCAAAGAGCAATGGAGAAGATCTTTTTAAAGCTGGGCTTTATCACCACTGCAGCTGAAAACAAATAAAGTCTTGACATACCATTTTCTTGAGAGTAAATGTAACTTGAAAAATTGTGGTCAGTCTTGGTATGTGCCCTATGAGTTTGTTTCTTTTTAAGAAATAATTAGAATGAATATATTTTTATTGCAAAGAATTCTTATTTCTAAGTAAGTTATTTGAGTAAATTTCCTTCCTCTCCTCACATTAAGAGACTATGTTCCAAATAAAATGGAAAACCTCATTCTGAAGGGTGAGTTTGCAGATCAGGTACTGTGATCTGGCTTTACAGCTGGCAGATCCTCAGCAAATCAGTCCTGAATCTTAAATACTGATGACCATCTTTCCTTTTACTCAAGTGTAATTCTGAAGTTCCTCAGATCTAAATCTAAATTTCTTTTATGTTTACAGGATCCAGCATTGGCTCACTACTTTTAAAATTACCATGTTAGTACAGTTGAATCCAGAGCATTAGAGTATTCTGTCTGTGCTAAAAAAAACTTCACTTGATGGAGTTATCAGAATTACAGAAATTCATTTTGGCTGGGGAGGAGCCACCTTTCTCTGCAGGAGCTTCCCCAAGTAGTATGCTAACTATGAAGAATTAATGTGACCCCTTCCTGACACTACACTATATGGAATTTCAACCCAATCATGCAAAGTCTGTTGCTGTATATCATGTTCTGGGATTACTTTGGTCATGTATTCCAATAGCATATGTAAATTAAACACTGACAACAATTACACTGCTGTGAGTTAAAGCATGAATCTGTGTATGCACATTATTTCAAGGGTGTTTGCTTATGAGTGTTTATGATGTTTCTAATTTAAACACTTTACAGCTCGGAGTCCAATATTCACCCATCTTGTTACAAGTTTAAAAGGACTGTGGACACTGAGAGCTTTTGGGCGGCAGCCATATTTTGAGACCTTATTTCACAAAGCCCTGAACCTACACACGGCAAACTGGTTCCTTTACCTGTCAACACTGCGCTGGTTCCAAATGAGGATAGAAATTATTTTTGTTGTCTTTTTTGTTGCTGTGGCATTCATCTCTATCATGACTACAGGTACGATAATTTTGCTGCAGTACTGAAATGGAAGTCTTCTATTTAACAGCTCAGCTTTAGAAGCTTCCAAGGGAAATAAATATACTATTGCAAACATGTTTAGCATAGATTGGAGTCACTGATTTTAGTATGTCATAATAATAAACATGATTTAATTAATATAGAAATTACACATTATTATCTGCAATCTGATGTTGTAGAGGACTCATTGAAAGGATTAGTCTGAAAACAGTATCTGATGGGAGAGAACTTTAGTGACGATAATTACTGTAAACATAATTTCATGTGTTTGAAACCACACTAGTGTAACCATGTTAGTGTACTGAAAAGCTTGGATGTTGATTATCATCTGTATAGTTCAGACTTTTTTAACAAATAGACGTTAATGTTCCTTTCATTTGCATGTTTTTAATGATTTTTTAAGGTCAAATCAGTAGTACAAATAGTCATGCACTTTACTAATTTCCAACCCTCTGATGCATTTTCTGATGTGAAATTTTGCAAAATTAGTAAACCCAGTGCCTGAATGAGAATCACTGTATACCTTAATATCTTAATTGTATTTGAAATGGTGCCCATGGCTGGCCAGGTATAGCCAGTTTCTGACAAGCAGAGAATAGGAGAATAATGTCCTCCAAATGTTGGAATAATTCAATTCTTTGGAAAACCTCAGCAGATCAACTACAGATTACTTCAAATACAGTTTTTAATTGACTATGCTTTTGTTAAGTTTTTTTTTGTTTTTTTTTTAATTTTGAATCTCAGGCATTATTCTCTCTCCAAGTTTTACACTGAACTTTGTGTGCAGGATCTGGATGCAGTTGCAATACTATGGCCACTGACGAACAAGAATTTGCTGATTTTGTTGAGGAGGTTTCTTGTTCTAACAATATCCAAATTTCATTTCATCATACTATGTTGAAAAGGAGCTAAGAAAAGTGTACATTTTATCTAGTATTGTATTGTGTATGAAATGCTATCCTCTATTTTTGTGTAAGGAGCTCTCCTGATTCTTAGGGGAAAAAAATGCAACCACACAAATACTTCTGTAATAAAATACGCATTTACAGTACTTTTGTTACAAAGGAGACTTTTAGTTTCCCTAAAATTCATAGGGAAACAATTTCCCCTGGTGCCCTTCTCATTTTTTATTTCGTGTGCTCAGTAGTTTGACTTTTTTTAGGAAAACTGTTTCATGTCTAATTGTTTTTTTGTATACTTGAGAAAAGGGGTTTGAAGCACTTTTAAAAAACTTGAAAATTCGTCATCTTGCCACCACTTTACTGTTACAAGTAATAGGTCCTTGGGGCAATACTAAATTCATTTTCTTAATCTGTCAGCTTTCAGGAGGAATATTTTGCTTTTCTTGTTTACTTCTATAATTGCTCTGATAATGAGATGTCTATAAGCAAAACAGGAGGAAGTTTGTCGAAGAAAGCCATAGAAGAAATGGAGAAATCATAGAAAGGCATTTGGCTTAAATTCCCAGTTCCATTTAACGCATAATGAGATTAAAATCAACAGTGAGGTGATTTAAATGCTTATATTGTATTGTATGAACTCATAAAGGAAAATCCCTGGAAAACCCCCTGCTTTTTAGAACAGACAATAAAAGCAAAAGAATTTATATCTTTGTGGAACAGTAAATAGAACATGTCCTCTACTTGTCTAAGAAATGAAAATGTAAACCAGTGCAACTATCTTGAATTTTGAAGTTGTCAGCTGTGGTGTTTTAGTTAGATAAGAGTCATTTCACAGATTATATGCTTTGTAAAAGGGAAATGAAAACCAAGATTTGCAGAGGCCTGATTTTCTTTACAGCTAAGTACTAAGATTTAATTTTTTTGTTCTGCCAAAGCAAGAGCAGGGTTTCTAGTGAATTCAATGGCAAAGCCAGGTGTTTAGCTGATGATTAAGCCCTCAGTCCTTTGTGTAAGTAACAAGTCTGTGTCTTCTCCATGAAATAAAAGAGGAGAGAATGTGAATATGTATTTTAAGATATACATGTTAATTTTCTGATTTATTTTCATATAAATTGACTGTGTTTTTTTCCCCACAGGTGATGGACCAGGAAGAGTTGGCATTCTTCTTACTTTAGCTATGAACATCATGGGAACCTTGCAGTGGGCAGTAAATTCAAGCATAGATGTGGATAGTTTGGTAAGCATAAAATGCACTGTACTGTGCTTTCTTTTGAGGAATTGCCTTATTTTGTTGATTATGGGTGTTCAGTGAGTTGTTTTCTGAGCTGGATAAGAGGCAGATGTGTCAGAAAAATTCCCGTCATACCTTTCATAGCAACCTACTGGCTTTGGCACAGCACAAGCTTGAGTTTTTCTAAGATCAGAAATTTTCCTGGACTAGAATAGGCAACAGCAAATATTTGCATTTTCGGATTCAGATTGCAGATGGGAAAACTTCAAAAAGGCTTGGAATTGTTTTGTTATGATTATATACCTTACCAAGGTATATAAAATACATTACTTTGTCATGTTAAGGGCTTAGCACAGCAGATCACAATGCATGTTTTTGAGCTTCCTCCATGCAAAATCAACAGTGATTTAAAAATCTGTTTTAGATTTCCCTGGGGGTCTTTTTCTGGTTTTTTTTTTTTTTTGTGTAAAATGCACTCTGACATAAGGCTTAGGAGTTGTACATACTTACCCCTTGAATTTGTGTAGCTAGTCCATTAGTTAGGCTTGGCTTTGAAACAGAATATTTCACAAGGTTAACTCATCATCACCTGTCTGTTGAGATATGAAAAGTAGGCAGGATACTCATAAAAGTATATGTTTGTTCTTGGAGTTTTTATCATACCTTAGCTTAAATGTATGAAAGTTTTAGATGTTGTTTTTAAATGTAATAGCTATTTCTCTGTTTTACGCTTCAGGCATTTTAGGATCTATTTTAGACAGAACTCTTGTTACAAAATACAGTAGCTTTATAAACAAAAAAAAAAGAATTCAGATAAATTAAAACCTCCCACATCCAGTCATAACCTCTCTGAACCCTAAATTATCTTCTTGATACAACCATGTCAGTATTGGAAAACAAACAGCTTTTACAGCAGATCTTGGTGACAATCCTGCAGTCCTGATTAGCTTAAAAGAGTTGTTGTTTAAAAAAAATGTAATTGGGGCAAACAATGACAGTGCAGGAATATTTGCCAGTTCAATGTATTTTTTTTTTTAAATGTGATTTAACCAGCCTAATCCTGAAGGAAATCCTTAAGAGCCCCAAACCAGGCAATTAACCACTTAAAACATCTAATCTCTTATTTACACATGTGACTGGTGATATTCCAGAAAGTTGACTGCCATTCAGGGACACATTTTTTCCCTGTCTATGAGTTGTTTAATGCTGGCTCTTTCTTTGCTGCTTAGAACAACTTGTCTTGAAGGCCAAGAACTTTGTAAAAAGGCTTCTTTGCCATAACTGCAAGACGCACCAAACAACAGTTGTGTGACTGATAATAAAGTAACACGTGCCATTGGTAAGGCACAGCAGAGACAGAAACATTTGATCAGGTCTCATTTGTAAACTCCATCTTAACCCTGTAAGGCACAATGTGGTCACTTTAAGTGTAACAGTCTATACAAGAATCACATGCACGTTTTATACAGCTGAATGAATGTTTTGCAAAACCAATAGAAAGTCTTACTGTAGGATTCAGAGGGTGCTGGACACATCAGTGTTTCAATAAAGAACTTCCCCTTTTTCAAAATACAGCGATGTTAAAATGTCATCTGTTAGTAGCAATAAGGAAGTAACTCCCTTTCCCCTGAAAAGAGTCTCAAGTTGCTTTAGAAGTTTGTGAGTACTTTTCTCTATATTGAGACAAACTACTGTACTGGAGCACCAGTTATATTCTATTAATTCTATTATTATTCTTATAGCCTTCTAAGGTGCATAAGCTCATAGGTGGATCCTCTGGGCTTCTTTCAGAAGTAAATAGCTGCACACCCCCATCCTATGGATTTTTAGGTATCCCAGATGACAAACTAATATATACTGCTGGCAGGATGGTTTTCCTGACATTGAAAAGTTGCTCCTGTGTGCAAGCAGATAAGAATAGCTTAATGGTTTCAAGATAATAAAATTGCTTCACTGGGTGATGCAGATGTATTATTTCCCATTCTGTATTCTCTACATTTAGCACTTCCCTCTTTAAAGTCTTTTACATTTATTTGGTGACAGATGTCCTACAAAGGCTTGCATGTGTGCCTTGGTAGTATATTTAGTTATACTCTATTTTTCTCTCAAGGAGTACTTTGAAACTCCCCACAGGACCAGATTGACTAGAAGTGACATCTCTCCATATGCCTCTGGTTACAGATATGCACGCACCGCTCTAGCTAGCATCATTCTTGCTCTTCCTTGAGCTGTGACATCTGTGCTTAAAGCCTGCACAGAAGCCTTCACTGAATGTATAGTACATTTGTAGGTAGCAGGTTTTGGTTGTCAGATAAACTGGAGTTTTCTGCAAGTGGTTAAAACCCATGCCCAAAGGCATAGCTGCTCAAATGAGCGCATAACATTAAGCTTGTATTGGGTTGTTTTACAAGATATGCAAAGGATGGGACGTCAGTGAAATAAATGCAAGCAGAAGGACAGGAAGGCAGGAGAGTAGAGGAGCAGGATCATGTGAAGAAGGAAAAAAGAACCAGAAGAAATACTGGCCAAACAGATGTGTAGGTGGCAAATTGACTTTATTTCAGACAATCTCCTTCCTGAGCTTTCCATGACACTGACATATATATTGAAAAAATCTGAGTTTCTAGGTTGGATTTTTTTTTTTACATACACAGATACTCTCTTTGAAGCAATTTCTGTTGAACTGGTTTGGCTTTAACTGAAAAATCCCCATTGTCTTTTAATACCTCGTAATGGTTTTGGCATTTCATTCTTTACATCCCCAGCCCTGATACTTTATCTGCTCTACTGTTTTTTTGTTGGTTTTTTTTTTTTTTTTTTTTTTAAACATATGTGGTCACTCTGACAGCTCTCCATTGTTTCATTTATAGCTACCAGTTAGGCTGGCTTTATCTTTTCACTTTGATCATTTCTGTTAATATCCCTTTAGCTGGTTTTCAGTCCTTTTCTTATCCCTCCAGGCAGCCTTGAAGTATTTTTAATTTTTTTCCTTCATAAGGAAATAGAAAATAACTTTTCCAGTAAGTGCTGCTTTCACAGATAAGCATTGGCTTGTCCCAGTGGACTGTTCTAATGTTTTATAACCTTCTTGTTCACTGATGTGTATTCTGTAGTAGCAGTGCTATAACTGGGAAGGACAATTCATTTTAACAGGGGCAGAGAAAATGCCATGCTTTTACTGTTGCCAAGATTACTTATGTAAGGAGATACGAAAAGAATCCCCCAAAGAGATATTGAAACTGCGCTTGCTAAACCTCACGGTGTCCAACCCTGTATTTCAGGCATGCTGAAGAAATAAGTAGAGGACCAAATAAAAATTCGGATGTAGAAAAAATAATGATGCTTTCTTTTCCTACTGTCAGCATAAAACCTGAGACCTCTGCTAATTTGCAGAGTTTAAGTAGACTAAATACTTGACTGTAAAATCTGCATCAGAATTGAGAATTCTCAAAGTGAGGTGTTGGTCATCTGGAAGGAAGAAGAATCAAGAAAAATCTGTTAGAACATTTCCCTTTCTGCCTGCAAAGCAGTGTGAGAAAGAGTGAAAAATTCAGTACAAGTTTTAAATTAACTAATTATTTCGTTTTTGCAGTTTGGAACAGGAGTATATGCCCTATAATTGCACCCAAAATGTAACAGCAGAAGATGTGAAACAGAAGCAGAAAAGAACATGGGACCTGATGAAATTAAGTGTATTAGATTACATGTAGAAGAATTACTTCTTGCACTTTCAGGAAATATACATTACATAATTATATTATGAATTCTCCTTCAACATTAAGAAGAGTTAAGTGTTATTAATGAAAAAGTAAATTAAAGAATGTGCAGTGTTATTAAAATCTCAGTAAAATACAATTAGGCAAGGCTAAAAATAGTGTATTATGCTCTAGACATTTTTAGATGGAAGTAGTAAATATACTCCTTTATTCTAAGCATTAACTAGTGAATGTGAATATAGCAGGCACGTTGTTGATGGGAGTAATGGATAAGAAACTTGCTGACACCTACACTATAGCTGTCATTATGAATGACAGAAGATTTCTATCTATGAAAGGAAGAATGGATATTTTTGTAAAATGTGAGTGACATTTATGCTGCATTCTGCCCAGATCTAAATCTTCTAAAAGAAAGCATGCTTTTGAATATTCAAAGTATTAAGCTGTCTAAAATATCTGCATATGTGATGTGACTGATAAATCAGCCAGAGGAGCTGTGACATAGAGATTAAATTTTCTGCTGTAAGAGAAGGCTCTTTGTCCAGCTGGTTTCATAGCTACTGATATACTATAGTATACTGATAGATTTTAGCTACTGTGTAATGATAGGATCACTTGGACAATCATAGGGAATACCTGCCTGTACAAGTGTTCACAGCTCTTTCCAAAGCCAAGAAAGACGTTCATTTCTGAATTTTTCTGTATGGATAAGATTTCTAAACCAAACATACCGTCGAACACTGACTAAAATAAATGCATGGTGCTCATCCATGCATGTGTTACATTTACTATAGACAGACAGGAAGAAATTGTCAGTCTGATCCAAGATCTTTCTGTTTGTATCACCGACTGAGATAACATTCATATATCAACATGATGATGACCATGCCTTTCTATCTTGCACAGTGGTTGAGATGGAAATTGTAGTCAATATGCTTGGGTGTTAGCATGTTTTTCATAATTTCTGTCACAATAGTGTTTCAAGATGCTAATGTAAGCTACAATCCCAGTATTTCCTTGCATTGTGTATAAATTTGCTTCCACATGGAAAATCCACCTAACAATATTTCAGTCTGGATCGAAGAACAGGAAGGAAAGATAGATCAAGTAGAATCACTTTGCAGAAGGAATACATAAGCTGTTAAACAAGGTCAAAGATGGGCAAAGGCTTTTCCATAATGCCACTGAAGAGGGATACTACTGGGAATACAGATTAAAGAACAAATGCTAATAATAAGGCCCAGATATTCCTGGATGCAGTAGCTAAGCAGGTATCTATCTATTTATTAATTTAGTTTGCTAAGTAATGCCTGACAAATAAGCATCTTATGATTTACTATCTTACAGTAGTCTCTTAAGAGACTATCATATAATTTACTCTCATTGTTTACAAGGACAAATTTTGGTAAAATGAAGAATCTAGTTAAGTTAGTTGGACTAGCACTTAGGAACCTGAATGTAAAGTCAAGTCACGTTTTCTTCAAGTAAGGGGCTGAAATTTGTTTCCTGAATACAGGAGAAAAACAATAGGAATTTTTGGAGACTGTAGGACTATGAGCATGAACAACATTCTGTAAAAGCATATTAGAAATTACAGCCTCTACAGAATGGATTAGTTAACCCAAATAAACTGTTGTTAGAGGTCAAGAAGCAAATAGAGCAGGGAGACTTGACATTTGAGGAAGAACTGGCTGAGAAGCTGGAGCTAAAATGGCCACTTCAGATGAACCCACCAAAATGGCAGTGGTTGTGACATGGTAGAATAACAACTGTCACTTTTGGTTAAGAAAGAGAAATGGGAAGTATTTGGTGTCCCCCATCAGTTTGTTAGTCTGCTGGCAGCAGTCTTTAGAAAAAATTTTGAAGAAGTAGTGAAAGATGCAGTGTTTGCAGAGTGAATTCACTGAGGTTTGCTGACATTAAGGTTGCATCAGACTAACATCATAACTGTATTCTATGATTTATTTTCCAGACAAAAGTAATGTAGTAGATCTCATTTGTCTTCAGGAAAGCACTGGCTGTGGCTCTGTTTCAGAAATGGTATAAATGAAGGAGATCAGGATTATTACAAGAACTGTAAACTTGTTAATGAGTTGGACAGAAAGGAAATGGCATTAAGCTGTAAGCATTAACCTGTAGGGAGGCTACTCAACAAAGATCAGATTTGTGACCAAGCTCATTTTAATCTTCTTTTAATGCTCTCAAAAAAAAAAAAAAAAAAGTGTTGAAGAAATCTGTCAAAGGCACAAAGCTGAAAGGCAATGTTACCATGAAGGATGCTGGGAATTGAAAGGTATTAAGTGACCTCAAATGGCAGATACAAAATAGATTTCAGTAACTGAAGTGCAAAAACTTGAATTTAGGGACTGCTAAGAATAACCTCTGAGGTAAGTAAGGATCTCCTTGGTGAGAAGTGGCTAAGATGGGGGAAAGCTTGGCTGATGACTGCTCAGTCAGAGGGTGGCTCAAAGATGTAACTGTGAAGAAAAGACCATATGATCCTAGGGTGTGTTAATCAAGATATTCCTAATACACATAGGAAAGTATCAATGCCTTTGTACAGTGTCTTTGTGAAACGTCATCCAAAATGCTGTATACATTCTGATCAGACAGGCAAGAGTAATTTGAACTGGGATGTTTGAAGAAGGAGAACATATGTTAAGAAAGAGGCTTAAACCTGGGGTTTTCTCTAGTCCTGGGGAACAAAAGGTGACTGGGCTAAGGTAGCTCTCCATAAATTAATGAGGAAAGCAGCTAGGAAAAATAACTATTTACAATTCAAAATTAATAAATTTACAAGAACAAACTGGCCCATAGACTTAAAAATATGTTTTCTGACCACCTGAGCAGTAAAGTTCTAGTGAAGGAGATAAATGAACTATTTACTAAATGACCCTTGACCCATTAAAAAAAAATCAAGGGGAACACTTCAAGTCCCATGCTCTTTTGAAAATTCACCAAGACTGCTACTAGCAGCTTCTGTCTGAAGTTCATGAACTACAGGACTTGATTATTTCATCGAATACATATAATAACAGCTATAAAATTAGTCGTTGTGGAACTTACTACTAATTATTTGCTAAAAAGTATAGATAGTTTCTCATAGAAACTCAAATGTTAGTGTCTGATGAATGTTCCTCTTTATTTGATGCTACAGCTTTACATCTTTCAATTTCCACACAGTCTGCTGATCTTTGGAGATCAATCATCATTCAAGGAACTTCAGTTTTTCGGTTGGGCAACCCCTTCAGGAGGAAGGAGTTGGAAGACTCCAAGATTGCTTTCATGATCATACTTTGTTTTTATAAGTACAGATCATCAGCGATTTTCAAAATACATTTTTAGAGGTAGAAAGCCTTATTGTGTCTTTCTGCAGAAATGGAGATCACATGTTGGACTACTGTCAGTAGTAAAAAAGCAAGAGAATATCGAGCTCTATACAAGAAGTACCCTACCACTGAAAATTATGTCATGGTATAACTTACACAGAAAAAAGACTCACTGTTCTGTCTAGGAATTAAGAATAACTTGATTGCATTTGTTTTGACAACTGAGTATTAATTAAAATTAGAATACTCTTTGTTTTGATTTGTAGATGCGGTCTGTCGGACGAATATTTAAATTCATTGACATGCCAACAGAAGAGATGAAGAACATTAAGCCGCAGAAGAATAATCGGCTTTCAGATGCCTTTATAATTGAAAACAGGCATGTGAAGGAAGGAAAGAACTGGCCATCTGGGGGCCAAATGACTGTGAAGGACCTTACAGCCAAATATGGTGAAGGAGGAGCTGCTGTATTAGAAAACATTTCCTTTTCAATAAGTTCGGGGCAGAGGGTGAGACAATTCTTCATGTGTTTGATCTGACTACTATTAAGCTTAACTGTAGAAATGTCATTATAAACCTATTCATTGACTAAAGAGTAAGGTCAGTAAGGTTTTGTAAATTAAATTGTCACAAAACAAAGTAATCATCTAAAGCACCTGAAGAACAGAAATGTCTTGTGTCTCTTAAAAAGAGCTTGTCTGTAGGATTATTGGCTACAAACGAAGTAAGGGCAAGGAAAATCTGCCTCAGTTATCCTAGAAATCTCGAGGCTATTTACACTTCAGTGAAGCACAGTGAGGATGGTTACTGGACATGAGGAGCAGCATATACTGATAAAATACATATGCAGCAGTTCCCCAAGCTGTATTCCTGTGCCTGAAGTTGTCTGCCTTCTCCTGCTGGGAGAGGGAAGCTTGCTGGTGAGTGCAGGTGCTGGGGGCAGCCTGACCCAGGTGGAACAGAGCATGAAAGAATACCAGCTCCTGTGCCAAGGGTAATGCACTGCTGACTCTGATGGCCAGAGGGTGGAGGTGCCGTCTCGCCCGTTCAATGAGGGCTCTAGGCCACCCCAAATTATTATACAGCAAACCATAAACAGCTCTATTCTTCAGACCATTGCCAGATGTCTAATTAATCTTCCTGCGTGCTTGGAGTTGTGTTCAAGACAGAGTGTTAATTTCAGGACAGCAGTTAGGCAGAGGTTTAACACTCTGCTTTAAGTTCAAGCTGAAGGACCATCCTCGGTGGGGTGGGAAGAAAGGCTTACGTGACTTTCTGAGCAGCAGACACACAGATGAAGAGGAAATTTTAACTCACCCACATAGATGAGAAAAAAAAGATTCAGTGATAGCAACCTGGCCTCACCAGAAGGCAGCTCTTTGCTCCTAGTTTGGATAACACCAGTCTCTGCCAGGTTTGGTAGATCTGTCTTGGTTTACATGAACTGAATGTTTCATCTACTAAGTTTGAGGGCACCAAAATCTTGAGACTGGGGGTCTGACCTCCTGTAACACTATCTTGAAACCTCTCTGCCTTTGGAAGAGAGGCACCTGTGATTCCTGGAGCACGGAGGTGCAGGTGCCACTGCAGTCTGGTGGATTTACTTCCTGGAAAATCCCTTGGAGAATGGAAAATGAAAGATAATTTTGTACTGTACAGAGAGCGGGCAGAGCATTTATAACAAATCTTTTTTTAAATGGCTGTGATTTAGGAACTCTATCCAATTTTGGTGATGAATCATGACCTCAGAGGAAACATTTCCAGAATTGAAGCATGCTCCTTAAACTGGAGAGGATTTGTCTCTGCCCCATAGGGAAGCATAGGTAAAATAAGCAGGGAAGGGGAGAGCTCTTCTCTGGTGAAGGGGTAGAATATCACAGCACAAGAACAGAATAGAGTAGCACAGCACAAGACTAGACTAGACTAGACTAGGACAGGACAGGACAGGAAAGGACAGGACAGGACTACCATCTTGGTAAAGAAATATTTCCTAATGTCCAGTCTAAACCTCCCCTGGTGCAGTATTGAACCATTCCCACGTATCCTATTACTGGATACCAGAGAGAAGAGCTCAGCACTTCCCTTTCCACTTCCCCTCCTCAGGAATCTGTAGAGTGCAATGAGGTTGCCCCTCAGGTTCCTATTCTCCAAATCAAAGTCCTCAGCCACTCCTCATAGGACGTTCCTTCCAGCCCTTTCACCAGCTCTGCTGCCCTCCTCTGGACACATTCAAGGACCTTCACATCCTTCTTAAATTGTGGGGCCCAGAACTGCATATTGTGCTCAGGGTGAGGCTGCGTCAATGCTGAATACAGCAGGATAATCATCTCTTTTGACCTGCTGGTCATGCTGTGTTTGATGCGCCCCAGGATGTGTTTTGCCCTCTTGGCTGCCAGGGCACACTGCTGCTGACTGCTATTGAGTCTGCTGCCAACCAGCACCACCAGATCCCTTTTGTGCAGGGCTGCTTCCCATCCACTCCTCTCCCAATCTATATTTGTGCCCAGCATTACTCCATGCCAGGTGCAGAATCCGGCATTTCAACTTCTTAAATTTCATTAATCATTGTCTAGAGGTCCAGTCCATCTAGATCCCTCCGCAAGGCCTCTTGGCCCTCAAGAGAGTCAACAGCACCTCCCGGTTTGGTATCATGAGCAAACTTGCCGCTGGTGCATTCAACTCCTGCATCGTTGATGAATGTATTCAACAGAACTGGCCCCTAGAATTGAACCCTGAGAAACCCCACTGGTGACTAGTTGCCAGCCAGATGTAGCTCCATTCACTACACACCTTTGAGCTCTGCCCTTCAGCTAGTCCTTCACCCAGTGCACTGTGAAGCCGTTCATCCCACAGTTGGAGGGATGCTGTGAGGGACAGTAGCAAAAGCCTTACTAAAATCCAGAAAAACTACATCCACCACCTTCTCTTCATCCATCTTATCGCAGAAGAGTATCAAATCAGTTAAACAGGACTTTCACTTTTGTGAACTCACATTGACTCTGCATGACGAGTGCATCATTCTTCAAATGTCTTTCAATATTATGCAGTATAATCTCTATAATTTTCCCAGGAACTGAGGTTAGACTATCAGTCTGTAGTTCCCTGGGTCTTCCCTCATGCCCTTTTTGATGACTGGAATCAATAGATTAGGCCAGTGCAACACAATACAGACTGCTCATACGGTTTGGAGGCCTGAAGCACTGTTCCTGAAAGGATGCCAGGCAGCAGGAAGAATCCCTTTCTTCACCTTCAACACATATATTGTCACCCTACAAAAGCAGCTCACAGACAGGACATTGTTAGCTGTGTAAAACCCAGCTGTTGGAAAAGGCAGTATCTTGGCATTTGCTGGTGGATTCTGCAGCTGTTGCTCATTCCAGCAATTGGTCAGTGCAATCTCATAAGGGAAACAGAACATTTAAAAAAAACCCCTGTGTATTATTTTTCTTTACACCCTAGGAGGTAGGGAAAAGCAGCACCAACTGGGCAGGTTGAGGACTTGCATTGCTGCTTGGGGCTGGGCAAAGGCATAGTGTGTGCTGTGCCCACTGCCTCAGACCAAAGCTACCCCACAACAGTCATGGTCCGATCAGAATTAGGCCCTCTGATTTCAATTTTATGGCAATAGAGTAGCTTAATAGTGTGATTCAGGTGCTCCCTCTACTTGGTTTTTGTCTGCTGAATGAGATTTTGCTGAAGAGAGCTTCATAGCAAAAGAAAGGGGAAAAGCAGTGTCCTGGGTTCAGCTACAGCAGCCATTTTTTCTCCTTCTTAGTAGCTGGTGCAGTGCTGTGTTTTTGACTTTCAGTCTGGGAACAATGCTGATAACACCGATGTTTTTAGTTGTTGCTAAGTAATGTTTACTCTGACCAAGGACTTTCTCAGTCTCATGCTTTGCCAGAGAGGAGGGGAAGCCAGGAGGAAGCAGAGGCAGGACACCTGACCCAAACTGGCCAAAGGGGTATTCCATACCACAGCACGTCATGCCCAGTATATAAACTGGGGGGAGTTACCCGGAAGGCCCAGATCGCTGCTCGGGTCGGGCTGGGTATCGGTCGGCGGGTGGGGAGCGGTTGTGTCCTTTTCCCTTGTTATTCTTGTTATCATTATTATTGGTAGCAGTAGTGGTTTGTATTATACCTTAGTTACTGGAGAGCTGTTATCTCAACTCGTGGGAGTTACATTCCTTCGATTCTCCTCCCCATCCCTCCGGGAGCGGGGGGAGGAAGGAAAAGGGGGGGAGTGAGCGAGCGGCTGCGTGGTTCCAAGTTGCCGGCTGGGCTTAAACCACGACAAGCAGAAAGACCTGGACTAATCAGTATAAGATAACATAGAAGCAAATTTGTGTTCTTCAGCTAACAGATTTTTCATCTTAATTAATTCTAACAAAATAAAGATGATTCTGGCCCAGTGTTTTATTCAGCCCTTTCTGTAGGCTTTTATCATTCCCAAATGAATGACATTTACTATCCCGTTGAGATTCATTTGAATTTTTCTCCACCGCTGAGATCTCTAAGTGTTTCTGCCTTTGTCTGTGGTTAATATGTGAGCAGTACTGAATGTTTGCTTTTATGGTTTGCATTGCAGGTGGGCCTTTTAGGAAGAACTGGTTCAGGAAAAAGCACTTTACTGTTTGCATTTTTAAGACTGCTGAATACAGAAGGGGATATCCAGATTGATGGAGTCTCCTGGAACACGGTCAGTGTGCAGCAATGGAGAAAAGCATTTGGAGTGATTCCTCAGGTAATGAGATTACTGAATATATGTGTCTCTTTTTTTCCATTGGTTCTACATACACTTCAAGCTGGAAGTTAATTGTTTTATGCTAAGGAACAGAAACAAAACACAAAGATTTTATTAAAAGGGGAGATGGATGGATGGAGGGATGGATGGATGGATGGATAGATGGAATGATTTGCAGCAAACTACTTTTTGAGGGTTTCTATGCCAGTTACACAAGAACTGTTCTAGAACTGGGAAGGTACAGCACACTCAAACAAAAGTAAGTGTTCATACCCTGCTTTTTTCCTACAGCTCTGAAACAGTTTGCGTCTTGATTCAAAATAAGATAGTGCCACCTGAAATGAAAAATACAGTCAGTGGTGGTCTCAGCTACTGTTTTCTAAAGCACTACAGCACATATTATGGTTAATGTGTGGATGCTATACATTGCCTGTTTTCCATGACAGGATAGTACCAAAATTATTGCTTTTCTCATATTTTATTAGACCACTAGCTGGTTCCCAACATGGGCTCAGCACTTTTTTAGCTGTCACCTCTCATTACCATGTCATAGTGCATGCATAAGGGAGCACTTCATGTTACTTATGCTTGCAACAGTGCTGGCATATGGGAAGTAATGCCATTTCAGAGATGAAAAAGGAAACAGCTCCTCACATGGATTTAGGCACCCTAGTACTTTCAAATAACTGGAACAAGTGAAATAGTCTAAGGAGGAACAAAGAATTAAACCTAGGGCTTCCCAGTCTACTGTCTTAAAAAGCAGTTACTGTCTGAGCAAGCTGGTGAGCTGCAGTGTGGTGGAAAGCTGTGTGCACTGACAGCTTGAGGTACTTTAACATAGTTGGAAAGAATCTTGGACAGCCAGCTAATTGAACTAAAATATATGCTGTCAGGTTTACATTTTCAAAATAGTGGTTTTCTTTTCTACAACTATCACAGAGCAGAGATCTATCATCACTTTCACCCTTCCTTGGGTATGTTGGCTAAAATCTGCTTTCTACCATAATGCAACAGTCCAAACTAATTGTAGTAAAGTCACTTCTGATATATTTCAGTGTCATGGAGGTGGGATTTAACTCTAACTGAGGTGTTCCTTATGGCACTGTTTTGGCTTTGGTACCTGTTAAAAGATGCTGAAATGCTCATGCTGGAAACACAATGTTTGCAAGCACAAGAGGAACTCAAAAATTATTTTTTCTACTTCATGATCAGCTTTGAGTTGTGACAGCCTCGCTTTCAAAAATGTTCTCCCACAGCAGCCTGAGTGGCATTTATTTAATGTAGGGCATACAAAGAAGACACAGCTCTCTCTCCCCTCTCTGCATTTCCACAAAGATGCTCTGAAATTTCCTTAAAGGCAGCAAATTTGTAGCACTTTGACCTTGCCAGAACAGACCCTTTCTTCACTGCCAAGTTACACCCTCAAAAAAACAGAGAGAAGTGTTGAGTTCACTGGTTGGATTCCTTTCTTGCCTGAACTCTTCTGACAGCCTGGTTGGTCACACGCTGCCTGTTGAGCTGCGGCTTGCTTGGCAAGCTGCCCTTTGATAGCTGACCTGTTGTCACTCTTTCTGTCCTCTATTCAACATTTTCACATCTATCTATCCTTTAAATTTCTATTTCTTTATTATTGCTGGTTCAGTTCTGCCGCATGATTGTTGCTTAGTATGAAAAAAAGTCACCCCTTCAGATTGAGGGCAGCTGTGCAGTGAACCGCAAATGCAGCTGCGTCTAATGAGTTTAGAGGACAGGTATGTTACACAGCTGTCCTCCAAAGGATGGATGTCTAAGATTAAGGATGCTTTAATAGTATAAAGTATGTCTCCTTTGTGAAATTTTCCTATACAGTCAAGCATAACTTCCTGCACTGGAAGGGGCTTCCCTGTCTTTCCCATAGTTATCCTTCTGCTCTCAGCCATTTTCCTTTGGATTCTGGTTGCCCAGCAGTGTTTCTGCTTTCCATGTCCAGCTGTCCTTGGGAATACATGGAATGAGGAGAAAACTGAATGCTTGGTAACAAGTAGCCTTGTTGTTCCAGTGAAAAATATGATTAATAATTCTCATAGCTGAGTACTCACTATAGAATCACTAATGGCATAGAAAACATCATTCTGCAGCCATCAGCAAAATGTGAGAGACATTTGTTACATGAGCAGTGTAACTTGCTCTTCTGGTAATGAGGTGCATTGTTAGTTCATTGTTAAAATTACACATTTAGTTCAGTTTGGAAGTCCCTGATAATGGATCAACACCAAAAAAATCCCAGCCCTCCATTCTCTGGAAGGTTATGAGAGTTCCCAGCCTGTTTACATGCTTCAGCTTGCAGCTCCTGTCCCAAAGCCTTGCCAAAGAACTGCACATTATACCTCAGAAGTTCCCACATTCAGAACAAAATGAAGTTTTCGACAGCACTCTCCCAGCAGGGAAGAGAAATTGCATATGCCACCCTGCCTTTCCCAGCAGAACAAAGGGAGCCTTTTGTTCTTTGCCCTTCACCTACGGCTTCAGAATGGAGGAGAAAAATTAGTTGCCTTTCCTTTCCTGGGAGGCTGGCCTACATCAACACCTGATATTCTCTGTCTCCGGGAGAGGCTTTGCTAACAAAAGAACGGAGCTCTACTTGAGGCATGCTTCCTTGTGAAAACTTTCCAAACCTCTCCTTCTCTTCCTTATCCCTAAATTTCCCAGTTTAGAAGAAAAGAAGTGCTTTTCCTCTGCCAGAACCTCACTGATGCATGCCTGCATAGCACACAGTGTCGGCCGGCAGCGTGGTCAGAGATCATGCTGAGCTAGAACAAAGACAAACCCCCTGTCTTTTAGTATCTCAAATCCAGCATTACAGTGGCGTGAAGGTGTGAATCATATAAAACATGTTTCCTGGAGCACCCCACAAGGAAGGTCCTTCCTGTTGCTCCTCACACGCCTGCACTGTTGAAGCATAGCTGGACCACATTTCTGCTCCTACAGGATGTTTGTCATTACCATGCAAAGCCATTACTCCAGCAATAACAGGTTGTTTGAAGTATAATCGCAGCCCATCATGCCTTCTTTCTGGGCAGTCCTTTCTGATGTTTTTTCTGCAAGAGTTTTCCCACCACATTTCCAAGGTGAGGACATCCAGCTGCATCTGATTTCAACACTGAAGCTCTTTTGTGTACAGGTCCTCACGCAGATTGCATCCTGAAATATTTAACTGACTCAAATTGAGAAAATGCCTTCGGAAATTTGGCTTTGAGTGGAGAACAGGAGACCTGCAGCAAATGTTCCATTAAAATCAATGAGGAAAATCCTGAGACCCATAAGGTGCTGCTAGCTCAGAGGAATGAAATTACTTCTGAAGTCGTCTTAAGTTCTTACTCCACTGCATCTTGGTGGATTTCATGCTGGTTTTATGTGTAAATACTCCATATAGAGTTAACATCAAGCCTAGCATGGAGAATGAGATTACTACAATTTGTGGGACTGCTAGCTGACCATAAAAAAAAATCAAATCAGTTTTGCGCCATTATTTTACTTAAAAAGTGGAATTTCACAACTTTCATCTTTGTTGTTCCGATTTTTCAGTAGTTATCTCATTTTGTTCATCATATCTGTCTGTCTCTCTGCCTGTCTGTCTCCAGCCCTGTTTCATCACTTCTCATACTCTTCAGGGCTGTGCACTTTGGAGGTCACACAGGGGGTGGCTGTTCTGAAGCATGCCAGAGCACTCCTGCATGGGGCAGTGCTGCTCCCCAGAGGGCTGGGCTCCTGCAGGGCAGCTGCTGCACCGGACCCATGCACAGAGCAGCTGAGGACATTCATCAAGAACCCACATGCTCATTTCAGGCGGTAGACAGGTTGTTTTCTGCATTATGGGTGCAGTGTTGTACAGCACTTGGGTTTACCAGTAAGCTCTGTGGGAGGCAGAGGTTTTAGCATCTTCAGGGGAGAAGCTTACAGAACTGGTCCCAGAAAACTTGCAGAAGGACTTCATTGCTCCCATGTTCTTATTCTTGTCTGGAAATACTTTGTCAGTGTAAAGTCCCCAGAGCATCTCTTACAAAAACAAAACCTTTAACTCTGCTCTTAATACTAAAGCATTCACATAACAATTTGATTGTCTTTCCATGCTGATGTTCTTGCCATAATATATATGAAGCAGAAGAGGCTACATGGGGGTCATGTTGTTGTTACTCTAACTTCTCTGTGTGTGGAGCTGGTATCTAGTTCTAACTGATACCACATTTGTTCTCCAGCCCTGGAGTGTATGGGAACAGGGGTCCATGGTCTCGCAGAGGACTTGCACATATGTTGTCTTTCCACTGCAAGAGCAGCTACTCACAGCCAAGATACTCCCTCACCTTAGCAGCCTCTTGTCAACTGATGCTTTACTCTTCTGTATGGGTTTGCTTGGGTACTCCAGGGTGTTGGTTCTTCACATAACACTTAAATCACTTAGGAAGCCCATTGCCACAAGCTGAGTGTATCCCACACCATAACCAGTATGCAGAAGCTCTAGCTGCTGAGGGGGACTAATGCCTTTCAGAGGGGTTGTTTTACAATATTTGGGGTGGTCAGAACATAAGCATGACCATATCTGTATTCCTGAGTGTTTTGCTTGTGTGTGGATGTCAAGTTTGAGAAACTATTTGTTGTGTGATCACATCCGTGAACATCCTGGGTGAATCTGAACAAGTGACCGAGAAGGAAATGGTTCCAGATTTGCTGCCAGGCACCCTAGCCATCCATTCACCCTTCCAATTCTCCTCTTATTTCTACTTCTGCCATATTTATAAACAACACAGAAGTCTGTGGCATGCACTTTTGGGTTTGGGTTTTTTTCACTTTAGAGTTCAAGCTTTTAAGAATTTTGCGGGTTTTTTCCCTGATTATTTTTAAGTGGACTCTAACCTGGCTGTGTGACTCACATATTTACTCAAGTGAACCCTATGTGGTTTCTAATGAGCTGGGAAGAAGGTAGTGTTGAAATGGAGAGAGAGAAGTACTAGAATTCAGGACAATGAAGTATTTACCTTGTGGGGGAAAAAGAAAAAGAGTACATTTGGGAATAGCTTGCTTTTAGTGACCTGCTTCTTGAAAGCACAGTTATTAGGAATAACAGCAGTTTCTGAAGAAAGTAGTTTCATTTATTTCTC